CCTCTAAAAGAAAGATCAAGGTGAACAAAGTTTACATCTACAAGCTCCAATGGAACCAACACTTCTCCAATGAGCTCCTTTTTCTCCAAGATGAAATAAGAACACTCCAAAGCACTCAATATCACTTTCTTTTGCTCAAAAGGCTCAAACTAGGGTTAGGGTTTTCATGGGAGAGTGTTAAAGAGGTCGAGGATGAGAATGGAATGGGTTTGGGGAAGTTAAGGAGCTTAAATAGGGTTCAAACCACAAAAATAGGGTTTCGGCACCGATAGCGTATGCCCAGTATACTCCTGGTACGCCCAACTTACTCAGGGATGCCCTAGTATGCCTAGCGTACTTCCCCGTACGCCCACTGTACGCAGCTTAACCCAAAACCATACAAACTTCAAACAGTCATAACTTCTTCGTTTCAGCTTCGATTTCGACGATCTTTATATCCATGGAAAGGTATTTAGGAGATCTGCAACCCTATCTAATTACTTTTAACTTAAGACAAGTCGAAATAAAATCCATAATTCATAAAAAGAAGTCTAAAACACTACTTTTCTCATTTTACCCTTTAACTCCAAAGTACAAACCAAACTCTTGGATCACATAATCTACATTACCCACATCCAAATGGGTCTAAACTTCTCTTTCCCAAAGCCTGAAGCCTGATCATACTTGATCTTTAGGTCACGACCCCGAATTATGAAACGAATCAATACATGGTGTTACAACTTATGAGGGTAACTATGTTTCAAAATCGTTCAAAAAACACTATTTAAGTTTGGTATGTTCAAAAATACCATCAATGTAACATTCAAAAATATGGTCCCAAAAATTTCATTTTAATAATAGATAAAATAGTATTTTCCAAAATCATCCAAACATTTAAATAACAACCAATGTATCATGTTCCATAAAATCAGAGTAAAACATCATAAGTGGAATCCCAACAATGTGTGCGATGCAGTCATCCCGAGGTCATCCCTTTACAACCGCAAGTACATGAAACATAAACTAAAAACCATAAGCACAAAGCTTAGTGAGTTCCCCCAAAATACCAAATAGCAAACATAAAATAAACATATAGTTGGCCCCACCTGGCATCGGACCCCGCCCGACATCCGGCCCCGCCCGGCATCGAGCTCAGCTCGGTAAACGGGCCCTGCCCAACATACAGTAACATATATCAGATCAACACATACACATGCAATAATCACATAGATACATAGCATACAAATATTCATCAGGCCCCACCAGGCATTGGGCCTTAGCCCGGAAATCATATAACCACAAGAACATGCAAGAGTCACAAAGACAACTAGCATACTAACAACATAACATCAATATGGGTTGGAATTGGTACCTTCGACCCACTAGACCTGGTAAAGAAACTCACCTCAAATAAGGAATGATAGCTGAACAGATCCCGACTTCTCTACTCAACCCCTAAAAAGAAACGATTTCCTTAATACAACTCAAAATTCCCAAAAGCCCCTTATAGGTCAAACTTGGTTAAAGACTAAATTCAAAGTCAAAGTCAACGGCCCAGGTTGACCCAACACACCGATTTTTGTCTTTCAACTCACCATGTTTCTCCATTAATCTGCAAAGTCGGGAAGAAACCGATCCAACTCGCCAAGTTTATCAATAAACTCGCCGAGTTCATCAGAAATCCAACATCTTAATTCATTAAGTCGACACAATCGAAACTAAGAGCTTCATAGCCCAGATCTCAACCAGAATCGCATCTAGAAGGGTGAAGTTTCCAACTTTACCCCTAGGAACCACCAAAATGGGTTCAAAACCCAAACCCTAGGCTTAAAAGGGTGAGGAGTTAATCATTAAGCACTAAACCACCAAAGGCATAGCTCCAAACTGCAGATATGGCCCTTGAAGTTGAATGGACACATAAATTTTCCAACTTTACCCTCATGCATGACTAGGAGAGGCTCAAATTCTAAAAAGAAGCCAAAAGAAAGACTTAATGGATGCATGAAGCCCTTAAGACCATAAATTTGGCACCTTTATGCCAAAAGAGCTCATGAAGATCTTAGATCTGAAAGAATAAACACTTGGGACGTTCTACTACCCCAACAACCACCCAACCATGGCTAAAATCATACAATCTAACCCAAGAAGATATCTAATCAATTATTAAGCAAGGTGGGAACTTGATACCTCAAAAACTTGGCAAATAAGCTAGTGATGTTGGATCCAAGTCTCCTTCTTCAAGCCAAGTAACTCTCAATTCTTTAGCTCCTTCAACAAGCACCAAAAAGGAACACTCAAGGCTCTCCTCAAGCTCACACACTCAACAGTGGAAAGAAATGCTCGATTTTAGGGTTTCTGGATAGAGTGGGCTGGTAAGGAGGCCAGTCAAGGGACTTAAGTCCTTTAAATAGGGTGCAACACCCTAAAAATTAGGGTTTCCTTCCCAGCTGCAAACTCGTTGAGTTGAGACATCTCGACTCGTCGAGTTGACTCATTAAACTCCGCGGCCAAAAACGACTCGACACGCTGAGTTGAGACTACCAACTCGCTGAGTCTTCTAAGAGAATCTAAATCGTTGGAAAATAATTTCATACCGGAAACCAGGCGTTACAATCAAAGTAAAGCCTTGATACAAAAAACACCAACAAACTACATAATTTGTTCAAATTTCACCTTAAGGTAACCAGCAATTACCTATAAAAAAAATAATTAAAGGAAAAAAACAAGAGGAAATTACTCAAAAGGGTAATTATCTTTCAAAATCATTCAAAAAACACCATCCAAGTTTGTTCTGTTCAACAAACACCATCCAAGTAAAGTTTTTCTACAAAAAACACCAATAAAACTATATGTTTTGTTCAAATATTACCTACTGGTAACCGACTCTTATAGGTTGATGGCTTGGCCTAACTATTATGACATGACATAATAACTAGTGACAAGACATTAGTTGATATATTCCCACGTAATTTACCTCCTGAATGGCTTCCTCCCAAACAACATTAGCGTCTTTGCTTCTCTCATCCTCTAGTACGCCACCTTCGGAGACCCATCAACATTTTGCCTTCTGTTTTCCCAATCACTCCCCTATTCTCACTTTGCTTTCTTGTGGAACACCATCACATGAACTTACAACATTGTCGGAGTTTATGAGGTGTTTCAATCTTATTATCTGATGATCTGTAAAGGTGTCAGGCCCAATGATCATTCTTTCCCATTTGTTCTCAAAGTTTGTTCGAATTATCACATGATTTGGAAGGGACAATAGGTTCATAGGTTGGTTTACAAACTAGGTTTTGACTCTCATACATTTGTTGGGAACACCCTTCTATTGTCATCCACATCATTGTTGATGTGGCAAAAAGAGCTAATAGGTCCCACTAACTAAAAGGACATGTTGTTTCCAACCTTATACCCCCAAAAACAACAAAATAACTTTAGGGACTAAATTAACTAATTTTATAAACATCATAGGGCTTTATGTCATTTCTCCTAATTTATTTATATAAGTAGTCAAGTTTTGCGTAAAAAAAAAGTTTTTTTAGAGCTGAATTAGCTAAATGTCTTATGAAGGTATTTTTGAAAATGTTTTTTCTAATATGAAGGGTATTATGAAATTTTTGACTAAATAAGGTTAGAAGGAAGACAAATTCAAATAAAGGCAAGTTTTTTTTTATATCATATTTTGAATTAAAAAAAAATGTGTCACGATATAATGAAATGAAATAAAAACAAATACAAAATATAATTTTTTTATCTTTTAGAATTTAGTAATTATTGGCCAAAAGTTTAGTATATTGTATAGGATCCCTAAAATTTGAGGATTTACAGTTATTTGAATATGTTTTTCTGATGCATTATAGAGAGAAAAACGAGAGTAGTATAAAGGGCAAACAGTAGAGAAATTTAGATTCAATGTAAAGATTTTCCAAATTCCAATACGTGATCATCTTTCCAATCGATGAAATAAACAACTTGTTTCGCTTCTCTATTGGATTTCCAAATTCCAATACGTGATCATCTTCCCAATCGATGAAATAAACAACTTGTTTCGCTTCCCTATTACAATCCAGATATATAATGGGTGCTACTATATCTACCTTTCTCACTCACATAAATCGTTATATAGGATACACAAACATTATTACATTCACAATGAGGGGTATACAAGGCAATTGGGGGTACGAATAGAATTTCTTATTCTGAATTTGTATGTAATTCATCAATTTGACATGAATAATCATAATCAAAAGCAAATATCTTGAACGTAAAACATTGATTATTAAGAGTCTTAACCATTATAAAGTAATCAATTCCAAAATAATAATTTAGCCAAACATCTCCATAATGATCAGCTGGCTGGTCGACAAATGCATGGTCCAATCGTGAAAAATGACAAGCGTTGATAGTATCCACTTAATTACGTGTGTAAGCCACGCCATGCCGACCCATTTTATATATTTATTCCTCTTATAAACAGAATAAATAAAAATATTTAAATAAATTAATAAATTATTTCCATGCAGAAAATGTCGTCCATGAGATTCAAACTCAAAGTTTCATATTTATCTTTTGAATGAGTCGAACAAAGAAAATTAATTGATGAAGAAAATTTACAATGTAGAATTGTCAGGTATTGTGACAAAAAAAAAGAACTACAAGACAAGTATTTATTTTAATTAAAGAATTAAATATTAAATTGGAAAATAGACTGTCGAAAATAACATCTTTTATAATTAAATACTTATGAATACGAAATTTTGTCTTGGTTATAAATGTACAAAAATATTATTTCTATGTATCTTAGTTGATTAAAAATATAATCTTATTTTAATCCTTTACAATTAACAAATAAGAATTTTGATTTCAATTTCTCTAGCTCCTCTATATAATACAATTTGATTCAACATTAAGTCCACACATCAAAAGCTTATTTCAACGGGTTTCTCCTATTTGTAACGAAAAATGCTCAAAAAGTTTATTAATTTTATGGTCTTTTCACGGGATATTTCTTTCTAAAAATGGAAATATCCCCAACTCTTGCTGCAGAAAGCTTTTCCTTTAGTTGGTTGACAAACAATAGAGCTTCTTTCAAAGAAGAAACAAAGTGTTTTTTCGAAGAGTCATCAAGCGATTTCAGTTTTGGCGTTTTGGCATCGACCTCTACAACAACTGCTGATGAGATGTTTTCTGAGGGACGTATTCTTCCGAAGCACTTTATCATCTCAAATTCGGCTCCCGCAACACCTTCTTTGAAGGCTATTCGTATATATAATACAGAAAATATTCAATCACACAATATATTTAGAGAATGGAAAAAATCGTCAAAACGAGTGATGAAAAAATTGTTTGGGTATTTGAGATTTAGGAAAGGTGAGAGGGACATTGATAGTATCAAATCAGCTCGTGGAAAATCGTTGGTACATTATTCTTATTCTATGGACGTTTCATATGAATTTGACAATTCGATTTCTGATGCAGTTCTTCACTGTAAAAGATCAAATGGTGCTTGAGATTTTTGTTTATATCAATTTATTTGCTTTTTAATATGTGGATCTTGTTGATATTTGGTCTATTTGTTTCGGTTAATATGGTTTTTGCTATGTAGATTTCACTGTTATTTAGTTAATTTGTTATTTTACTATATGTAAATGTAAAGTAATAAACGGGTAAATTTGGATGACCACTGATAAATGTTTCGCAATTTTTTATTGTTAAAACCATGCAAATTGTATGGATATTGAGTTATGCAACCAAGATATCAAAAATTCGTTGTTTCTAAAAACAAACCATTTAAAAAACTATAAGACAACCTTTTAAATCAATGATATTTTTCTGAACCTATTAGGATCGAATAGCTTAATTTTCCTTGCTGACCATGTCACCCAAATTGTTGTCAAAGTCGTCATTTCAATCGTCTTTTCTTCATAGAAGATAAGTGTCTCTCATCAATTCACTTAAGAACTTCAAGCACATGTACACCATTCATAAAACAATATCCATCCAACGACCCATCATTTCCCAAAGAGACCATCCCAATGCACAATCAAGAAAAATACACCAAAAGCTTTGGTTACTTTGCTCCAAAAGCGTTTGTTATGATAAAGACAATATACACAAGAGGGACTAGGTTTTCAAAATAAATTACAATTATGTTTTTTATGTTTTTTTTCAATTGACTATTTTTATTCAATTTTAATACCTACAAAATATCACTTAAAAGCATCATGTCCAGTGACCGGTTATATTGTCAACATTGAAACAAAATGAAACATATATATATATATATATATATATATATATATATATATATATATATATATATATATATATATATTATATATATATATATATATTACTTAAAACTTTTGTGAAATCGTAATATATTAATTTTAAGAAAAAGTAACTCCAATTGAGGACACCGAGGCATTCTCATTGAAATCGAACTTAGTATAGTCATACTCTTGGTCCGTACAATGTCGGTCTACTACTTTTACCCAAACTCCAATTGATTACCATGAAACTAGGATTTGTTTGGGATTGCTTTGGAAAGTTTAAAGTTCTTTTTCTAAAGAAAACTTTGACTTTCAGAAAATAAAAGTCCTAAAAAATCATCATTTTTTGTGTTTTGAAAAACGTATAAACGGAACAAAAGTACTCACTGTGATAGAAATTCGCATTCTTATGTTTCATTAGACCCTACTTTATACTCTCAACCAGAACATCCGAGGTCCATGTGGCCACGAGAAAAATTCGTGCACACCATCCCGACAAATCGTGGTCGGGCGTGGTCGTTATGATTCGTTTAGTCTACGATGATTTTAAAGCGAAAGTTGATTGGTGATTGTCTTCTTGACCGTTGAACGGCCATTTGACCTCTTTTTTTTTCAAACTCAATTCAATACATATAAAACCTTCATTCTCATTCTCTAAAACCTTCTATTTTCACTGAAACTTACACCTTCATACTCATTCTCTAAAACCACAAAACACATGGAATTCTTAAAAACATTTGACTCGGATGACGACATAGAATTTTTCGAGACATTCATCAACGTTGTGCAACACATTCACGACGAAGAAAGTTCGAATGTTGCTTGTAGAAGGCAGTCATCAATCGTGATCGCCAAACTGCACACGACTTATTGATACGTGATTACTTTACCGATAATTGTCTGAATAAGGTTATATTTTTACGTATTAGTAATGCTTTAGAATCTCGTTATGAATTTTCAAACAAAAACCCGACGCTAGAGGGAGAATGGGTTTTAGTAGCATACAAAAATGTGTGGCTGCTCTTAGATATTTGGGATACGGTATATGTGACAACCCAAAAAACTTCTCGCGTGCACTCTTCAATCCTTTCCAATTTTAGACTTATTTTACCGTATAGTAGTACCCTTTAGAGTCTAATGAAGTGTTCTAAATATGAAATAATCAAGGTAGGAGTGTTAAAAAGGATTAACTCGAAGTGTAGGAATCGAAACCGGGCCAAAAACTCCAACACATGGAGTGTGCGGCCATACACATGGAGTGTGCAGCCACTCACTTGAATGTGCAGCCACACACTCTTGTTTGCGGCCTCACACCTCCCTAACCGCACACCCTACATATATATACCACCCTTGGATCATTCTTGAACACTACCTTCACTTCTTCAAACATAGAAGACAAAAATCCTCTCAAGTATCATCCATTCTCCTTGAAGATCTTCATAAAAGGTGCCAAGAACACCAAGATCTTCATCTGGCAGCACACATGGCCGCACACAGGGCAGCACACATGTGTTGGCCGCACACTAGGTCGCACACCTGGCCGCACACACACACACATATAGTGTGTATTTTGGCCATACACCCTCTTGTATAGACTTATAAACCCTTATACAATCATATGTGATTATAACACTTCATTATAAGTGTTTACTAGTCCCTAAGGTGGTCCCAAAATCATCAATTAGATGTTCATAACACTAATTAAATCCATATATGTGCCTTCATATGCTTAATAGGATTCGCGCGTGTTCTCAAGTCACCACTTGACACCTAGTGTCTAATCCAACATTGTCATCAGAACCACTCACTACAGGTGAGTTCATACCCCTTAAACTAACCTTTAAAATACTTTTAGGGGGGGGGGGGGGGAATACAAGTTGAATACCTATAGTTATTATATCAATCACATGTGATTAGTAACTACCAAACCAATGATTTTATCACTGTTCAAATTGTTTATCAAATTGCTTTACTTCAAAATGCTTTACAAACTCTTTTACTTATCAAACACTTTTATTTAAACTTTATTATACTTCTTATAAATTACATATCCATGTATGCATAGATATATAAGAAATGTTTAAAAGGCTTAGGAAGGCCATCCGCCCTATTTCCTTTTCCTCGATTTGGATGTGGTCTGGTGGGATGTCGGGTAGCCGTCCGAGGGTCATTTCAATATTAATTATATATCATATGTGCAGATATTGACATAAAAGTACTTCCAAATTCATGTGTATCAGTTACATCATTAGTAAATTACCATCAAGGTAACGCAGGATTACTCTTACACTATTGCTAGATCAATGAGTCAGTTCATTCATGAGTCAATACTTATTACTACGAGAACATATACATTACATTACTATGAGTACATATACAACTATACTAGAAAGATAACATATACGACTATACTAAGGAAGAGAACATATACAATGATACTAGAACAAGAACAATACATGTACATATACATACATATACTTTCATAAATGTGATCCACTGTATCGGTGCATGCCTTAATTGTCATGGCCCGAGTTGTAACCAGAATCTCTTTGAGTGAGAGCGTGAGTTTGCGTATAGATCTATACTGGAGGTCTGCGGGTGCCAAACGTCATACCTTTTTACGACCTACATTTGTCGTTGATACTCAGTCGATAGTATGGTACAATTAAATCACATGATACCTTAATATAAATCCGGTTTAAGGTAGTTAGTACAGCAGTAGTTCCCATAACACAACACTACAGTACTACATTAATTTACCCATTATATACATTTAGTGATTATTTCACTTAAATATTCATGTATAAACTATATTCTATTAATGATAGTTACACTTGGGAAATTACACACTTTTACAACAAACGAGCGTACAAAACAGTTAAGCCTTGGTAAAAGGCTACTTTAATAGAAAATATAGGTTTTTCTGAGAGATTCAGACTTTTACAAACATTTACATACATTTTACAAACTTACACTTGAGACATGTGCAAACGTTTTGATAACAAACACTGACACTAAAATACTTATGAACTCACCAGCTTAATGCTGATAAACTCTTTCAAAATAACTTTGTATTCTCAGGTCATCAGTAGACAGGTACCGAGGTCAGCTTTTGAGAAGATGGAGCGCATCCAAGACTCATCTTATTATTTTGATTTATATTATTTTTGGTGTCTATAACTGTACATAACACGCCTGTATTAAAATTATATATTTAATGCAATGGATGATGTTGTTTGCTTATTTACATTCACTGTGTTGTGATACTTTACATGATGTCCTCCGCCCCAGAACATTTCCGTCGTTCTCGGTTTTGGGGTGTAACAGTATAAATACTTGAAAATATCCGAGATGACCGCACTTGAATGTGTAGATAGGTTTTCTGTATGTGTGTATGAAGTTTTTCACGAAGAATATTTGCGCAAACCTACTCAACGTGATATTGAGAGATTTTATTCGGCTCATGAAGAAAGGCATGGATTTTCAGGTATGCTTAGCAGTCTAGATTGCACACATGTGGCTTGGGAAAAATGTCCAAATGCATGGTGTGGTCAGTTCACTCGAGGAGATATAGGTGAACCAACTATCATCTTAGAAGCTATTGTATCTCAAGATTTGTGGATATGGCATATACTTTTTAGAGTAGCGGGGTCTAACAACAGTATTAATGTTCTTGACCAATCTCCTCTTTTCAAAGATTATTTGGACCGGCAAAGCACTTGATATAACGTTCACAGTGAACGGGCACACATACAAATACGGTTACTATCAAGGATATACCCGAATTATTCTACATTGATAAAGGCATACTCGGTTCCTCGAAATGAAAAGGCAAAGTTGTTTACAAAAAACAACAAGAATCAGCGAAAAATGATATCGAAATGACATTTTGAGTACTTAAACAGACATGATATGTAGTGAAATATGTTATACGAATTTGGGATAAACAAAGAATTAAACTGGTCCTAGCATGTATTATAATACATAATATGATTATTAAAGATAAATGTTGAGCTATGCGACCTACGTTGTCATTTCAATTGAGAAGTTCATACCCGAAACGAATAAGTTTTTAGAACGAGTAGTTGAAATTCATAATAAGTGTTTCAACCTTCTGGAAGATGTTGCGAAATATTTGTATCATTAACATGAACGAATATTAGTTTTTTTATATGTATGTTTGTTTTTTTAATTAATGTAATGGTTTTTATTTCTAGATTAATTAAATAATATAATTT